ACCGAGGCCCCTGCACATGTAGACAAGTGCTCTGCCACTGACCTGCAACACCAGCCCCACAGAGAAGCTTTTTTTAATTCAGTATAGCTTCTAAAACTGACAGAATCTGAAATCTTTAACTACAGCTTTCAAAGTTCTAACTAAAAGAAATCACCCTGAAGGACAGCAGGTCCTAGTTGAAATCATCTTTGAAGGTCACTGGGATTTCCTCCATCTCAGATTGGAGCAAGAACTTTGAAGTGGTTTTTCAGGCCCAAGGCTAGTCCTGGGAAGGCTAGAGGGGCTGGAGGCTGGAGTCAGCTGCTGCTGCTGGCTGAGGTGCAAATGCTGGGGCAGATAGTCAGGAGTAAGAAGTGACAGTCAGAGGCCAAGGTCCTCTCCAAAGCCTCCTGCTTCCTGTTCATTTCCTCCTGCCTCTAAGCCCCCCTCTGCTTCCTGTTAACTGGATCCATCAAGAAGTCCCTGACAGAAGCATTGGAGGAATGTGTCATGGGTATAACCAGAGGACAGAATATGGAGAGAAGGATTTGGAGCTCAGAAATAATACGATAACATCCGATATAAACAATGATTGAGTTTGCATTTCACCTACATCAAAAAACATAACAAGGGTTCATCTTTTGTAGGCTCGTGCATGTTTGTAGTTTTTTAATTCATCTCGTGTGATTTTTTGTTTAATGTCTTTTTCACTAGACTTCAATCTCAATAAAAGAGTCTATTGTTTATTTCCTCCCAGCTGTGCTGCCAGGGTCTAGAGCAATGACCATCATTAATACTCAAACATAACTGTTATGTGAATCCCAGGTTTTACATATATTTGAATAACAGGAATTTAAAACACCAAGTTGTATTTTTAGGGAGAAATGAGTTCAAGGGTACAGTTTGAAAATGACCAGCAGGTGGCAGTGTCTGACACGGAGTTTTGACATTTCCGACCCCATCCCCAACCCACACACCCGCCCCCACTCCCCACCACCCCGCACATTTCAGCAAAGGTTGCCTGAAAAGCCACAGCCCCGCACCCTCCAGGCAACGAGCGCCCAGAGAGCTGCAGCATCCATGCCTTTGGCACCATATCCCTGCAGGTAACGCAGGGCACAGGGAGGCTGTGCGGGGTGCGGGTGGGGGTGGGGGATGCTCTGAGAGGGAAGCGCTTAAATAGAGCATGAGACACACGTGCCTGCTGTCCTCACCCGGGAGCTCTCGATGGCGACCCTGTGGTCACTCTCACACCTGCCCCCTTATTCCAGCATAGACTGCACCTTGTCACCTGTCAACGACGAACCAGGCTCCCCATGGCAACCCTTCTGGACCACGGACACTGGTTAAACTACTCTGAGCCGGAAAGTAGACACAGACCTCTGGAAGCGCTAGCGGGCCCTGCTCCAGCCACCACGTCCCTTTCTCGTTGGGACTTTCTTGGGCAAGTGTCTCTCTGAACAGAAGAGTTCTGTGAGGGTCTAACTTTAAAATACTGTTTTATTGATATGACAGAAGTGGAAACTTTGGGAAAGGAAACGAACAGAATAAATAATCATCATCAGGAATTCCTTCACCCAGGTGACAACTTGAAGTCACCTGTCATACATGTATTTGGATAATGATGTCCATCACATTCCACCATTCTTGCTAAAATACATCTATTTTCCCGTGTGTATATGTGCATAAGATTATAGGTAAACTCATATGTACATGTAATGCACACTCTTATGATGTTATGTGTATATGCAGTTTTCTTCCTGTACTTAATGCTATATTATAAGCATTTTCTTATCATTAAATAGCCTTCTAAAGTGTAATTTTTTACGTGCATGAATGTTCATAGAATGAGCATAATTGATTTCTTCAATCATTTCTTCAGGCAAGATGTTATGGCTGGGGCTGGGGATGTGGCTCAAACCGTAGCGCGCTCGCCTGGCATGCTGCGGCCCGGGTTGGATCCTCAGCACCACATACCAACAAAGATGTTGTGTCCTCCGAGAACTAAGAAAAAATAAATAAATATTAAAATTCTCTCTCTCTCTCCCTGTCCCCCCCTCTCTCTCACTCTCTCTTAAAAAAAAAATGTTATGGCTGGGTGAAGGACATCTTTCAGACCATGGAGGTTCACACTCAGGCCCTGCCACCCCCTTTGTGGCTGTGACATAGTTAATCTCTGTGCCTACGTCTTTTCATCTAAAAATGAAGGATAAATGACTGTTAAATGAACTCCAGGTATAGCATTTCAAATAGTGTCTTATGTAGGGTAAATGTCCAGTAAGAATAAGCTCATTGAAAGTTTAGATATCTTGGGGGCTGGGGACGTGGCTCAAGCAGTAGCACGCTCGCCTGGCATGCATGCGGCCCGGGTTCGATCCTCTGCACCACATGCCAACGGGGATATTGTGTCTGCCGAGAAGTAAAAAATAAATATTAAAAATTCTCTCTCTCTCTCTCTTCTCTCACTCTCTCTTTTAAAAAAAAAAAGAAAGTTTAGATATCTTTTCATATGTATGATTTATGTAATTCATGTTGAGCTTTTCCCCAAATCATAAAAACTTTCTTCAAATAAAGACTTGAACGGTGGCTGGTTAGCCTAGTACATTGGTTCTTAGTTGTTGTTGCTGGTTTTGGTTTTTGTTTTTCCATTTCTAACTTGTTTGTTTATTTTTAGTTTTAAAAATATTTTCAGTAAGGGTGTAAAGATTGAGGAACATTACAGAAGAGCAACAGGCTAGGAAATATTAATAGCATCCACCATGATGTTATCTACTAACAATCTCCTTGAGTACTCAGAGTATTGGAGAAAAATACCATTTAAAAAGTGGAGAAACTGAATACGGGGTACTCTGAAATCATACTATTTTGATAACTTTTATCTGAATCTAAAATTATTTCAAAATAAAAGTCTCAAATACTAATAAAATTTTAAAGTAATTCAAAGACCAATAACTGGCTAATATATTTAAACTTTCATAACCTAACTGGCTTATGGCAGGCATTGTATTGGTACTGGTGTTGCTCCAAGATGCTATCAGTGACTCAGTTAAATAAGAAGAAGGGAAACAAATACAAGGGTCCTAATCTTCTATGTTTTATGCTAGAATAAACAGAACTGACGGACACTCTTGGTAGCAACAAGACAAATGGAATTCCTAACTCAGCTATGATCCCCCAGTTTTACTTTTAAATTACAGTGTGTTTACTCCCTAAGCAAAGCTTTAGGAGGGCTGAAGTCATCTGAACTGGACATATTTCATTCCTACATGGTGAAGCTAAAATAGCAAACTGCTCCTTCAAGAAGGTACATCTTTTCAAGTCTAGGGGGATTTGTGATATTACATTCAGCAAATAACTAACCTCTTCTTCATGTGATTAAAATCAGCGAATTATCTTAACTGTGGGAAGTTCTTATCTTCCAGATTCAGTTCCTCAATGAGAATGAATGGCTCAAAAAGTCTTTATAAAGGTCACATGTGGGATGCCCATGTTCTTTGGCTGCAGAAAGTGAAATTTAGTGTGAGTCACTTTTAGAAGTTATTTCCAGCTAGGGTGAAATGTGAAAAGAAATGTATGCATGCTGGGCATGGTGGTGCAGCCCATAATCCCAGTAAATCAGGAACCTGAGGCAGGAGGATTTCAAGTTCAAGCCAGCCTGTACAATTTAGTGAGAGACTCTGTCCCAAAATAAAAAATAAAAAGGGCTGGGGGTATAGCTCAGTGGTAGAATATTGTCTAGCATGTGTGAGGTCCTGGGCTTGATCCCCAGTACGAGAGAGAGAGAGAGAGAGAGAGAGAGAGAGAGAGAGAGAGAGAGAGAGAGAGAAAATGAATATGTTTAAGATTCCATAGGATAAGTATCCCCCAAAAGACTGTACCTCTGTTTCCTTCACAAGAGTTTGGGGGATCAGGATAGAGCTCAGTGGTAGAGCACTTGTCTAGCAATTGTGTGGCCCTAAGTTCCATTCAGTACCACAAAATAATGAAACAAAATTTTTAAAAAAGAGTTCATGTTTGATATGGAATTACCAGAAGTATATATTTGTTTCATTTTACCTTAAAAATTTTTCTCAATCCTCTAATGAATTTCCAGGGAATTAAGCTGAATGCAGAGTCAATCCCAAAATCATGCAGTTATGTGCTGTATGTTTCTATTTATGTAACCTTCTTGATGTGTCAAATTATAGGCATAAAGGGCTGAATTGTGGTTTCTAGATAGGAGGAAGGTGTATGTAGCTATCACAGGGCAGTAGGAGTGTCCTGTAGTGTTGGAATATTCTGTCTCTTGATTGTAGTAATGTCAATATCCTGGTTGTGATAGCTATGACACAATAGTATACAGTTTTAACAGTGAGGGAAGTTGAGTTAAAGGCTACACAAATTTCTTTTTTGAGAGAGAGAGAGAGAGAGAATTTTTTAACTTTTTTTTTTTTTTTTTAGTTTTCGGACACAACATCTTTATTTGTATGTGGTGCTGAGGATCGAACCCAATACCGCGCGCATGCCAGGTGAGTGCACTACCGCTTGAGCCACATCCCCAGCCCTACACAAATTTTTTTATTAGTGGATATTAATTATACAGCATAAGAGGTTTCATTATAGCAGTCACACATGTATATAACATACTTTAATCATTTTGTAGGATTTCTGTATTATTTCTTATAATCACATGAGAATCTATAGTTATCTTGAAAAAAACCCTCCATTGAAAAAAAAAGCAAAGTTGCTTTCTTAACTATAAAATTTGTGGAAAATAAAAATGATGCTCATCTTTACTGTTTTACCTAAGGATAGAAATTTTCGATAATGAGGGTCAGACCCAAGACTTCAAAGATAAGACATTAGCAATGATAAGCCTGTTTATAATCGAAGACCTGAACACTCAGAGCTGTTCCCTAGTGGATTTTCCCTCCACCTGGGGGAGGGGCAGCAGAAAGAACCCACCTCAAAACCCTGGCATTTGCTACATCATAAGACTCCCAATTGTGAACTGTGTTTTTCAAAATAATCACAAATCTGAATGAATTTTTTACCAATCCTTTACTAAGGAAGCTCTGGAAATTGCATCAAACTAAAAGGTACAGTACAACACATACTAAACATTTAACATAAATTGTTTGAGGCTGTTTCTAGCCCAAATTTATTATGTAAATTCTAAGTCAAAGCCCCCAGCCCCAGTAATGATTTTTGTATTATTTGTACTTGGTTTAAAATGTTATGATAAGTTTTGGAAAAATGTCTCCTATATGCATTTTCCTTAATCTTATTTTCTAAGACCCTACTGCCCATATTATTTTAATGAAATGAATGGTCATATTATGTAACCATGAATATGTAGATGCTTTAAAAGTTAAGATTTTAATAATTAGTATTATGTTAAGTAGTGTGGGCTATAAGGAAGAGATATCAGTCCCATTAAGTTAGTAGAATTTACTGTAAAGGTGTGATAGAAAGAAGGAAATGGGCAGTGGGGAGGGGCCTGACTGCATTAGTCAGGCCTTGAAGAGATGGCCCAGTCTGGGAATGGTCAGAGCTCAGGGCCCAGGCAGCCTCAGGATATCGGGATGCTTCATTCCCTTCAGTGGATCTGTGGATCCCATTTGTAGTTTCTGCCGTCGTTTGGATGCAGATCATTTACTCCATTTCTGCTTCTCTTTTTCTCTTGGATTCTTGTTTGTTTCCAACAGTTCCATTTTCCTTCCATGTGGAGTTCAAGCTATCACAGTGAGGCCAAGACAGCCTCTTTGGCTTAACCTTCATGCTTGACCACTCACAACACCCATGAGTAGACTCTAGGTTGTTTGTCCTTGAAAGGCTCACCCTGAGTCCATCAGTCATTAGCAGGACCACAGACAGCCACCCAGTAATTCATGTAGAAGGAACTGGTTACGAAGAAGGCTGAGCTCGAAGGCGTTCTGAGGACTTGTTGATACAGGTAATATTTGTATATGGCTGCCTTCGCATCATAAAGCAATAGGTTACATTTTCTTATTAAATAGGACTACTCTGTATTTCAAAAGACAGATCAAGATAAGTCAATCATTTTCACCATTAAAATAATTGAAGAAGGCTAAGGGTTGTAGTTTAGTGGCAGAAAGCTTGCCTAGTATGTGTAAGGCCCTGGTTTTGATCCCCAGCACTAGAAAAAAAAAGATGAATAATTGAAGGGGAAAATGATAATTTACCAAGCATTAATTTTGCTGGCAAACTTTCCCAGATGCAAATTGAATGAAAGTCAAATAAAAAGATACTCTGCCAGAAGTGTGTTTTACATCTTTGCTTTTTGTCCCCATATGCATAAATGCTTGAGGGAGAAATGCATTCATATATAATAAATTATCCTGACAGTAAAAAATGTGTGATTTCCAATCTCTGAATAAAACTACTGGGCTACATCTGCATAACCGAAGAAGACTATTTTAAGGCCTGAAGGAAAAATACCTAAAAGTCAGCAAGCATTGACAGTTCTAGACACTTGGTTATGTATTTCTTGATGAAGTTTTCATTGTCAGGTTTCAGAAGATAAAAGTGATTTCCTGGCAGCATGTGAATATCAACAGTCCCATTGGTCACATCTTTCCAGGCTAGAAGTAAACAAAATTATATTTAATAACAAATGACTTTTCCATCTAAAACAAAATACTTATTTCCAGATAGTATTTATCCAAGAGCTGATGATACCCAATGGTAGTTATTTCCAAGGTATCAGGTTCTGTGCATCCTGTATTTTTAATTTCTCTAAGACCTATCAATGTTGTGACTAGTATTCCCACCCATCCCTCTACTGGGGATTAAAACCAGAGGCACTTTACCACTGAGCCATTCCCCAGTGCCCCCTGACCTTTGTTTTTTGAGACAGAGTCTCACTAAGTTGCTTAGGGCCTCACTAAGTTGCTGAGATTAGCCTTGAACTTGTGATCCTTCTACTTTAGCTGGTGGGATTACAGGCATTCACTATCATGCCCAGCTGTGTTCTTTTATTTTACATGCGATCATTACCTCTCCATCTATACTAAATAAAACTGGGACGAATTTTCTATTCACTGCAGTAACTGCTAATTGACAATTGCTGAAAATCGTCAGACACATAATTTCAATAAAATACCCAAAACTATAAAAAATAATTTCACCTTCTACATCCTTTACTATGTCTTCAGATCCAACAAAACATGTTAAGTCACAAGAAAGAACGGCCTTAGAGGGCATGTCAAGGCTGTAGACAAAAAAAGAGCTGATTAAGCAACACCTCAGGACCTCTTCTTCTTAATAGCTTCACTGAAATGAAACAGAGGCCTCACCTTTGGCTCTTCCCACAGTGCAAACATTTTTTCACCAGGGACACTTCTCCCTATCAGAACCTGCCTGAGACTCACTGTGATCCAGGCCATTTTCCAACTTCATCTAAGTTCTAGAATGTACAGCTGGCAGCAGGATGGTGCTTGGGGGGCCCAGGGTTAGGGTGAGGCTGGTTTCAACCAGTGCTGTTGGCTGCTGTAGCCCAGACATGACCTCCCTGATTCCTCCCAGCTCTCTCCATGGTCCAGGGAAGGTTCTCATGTACAGAACAAGAGTGGGTTCGACCTCCATTTCACCACCTCCGTTTCACAGCACAGATATATTTACTGAACTGGATGCTGTGTGCTGGGGACGTGCAAATAAACAAATTCAGGCCCCGCCCTCCTACATCTGAGAGACTGGCAGGGAGAGAGATGTGCATGAAATAATCAGACAACTGAAGAGAGAAGCAAGTACTCCCAAGCCAGGTGATCTGAGATCATGGGACAGGAGGGAGGACAGGCTAGGGTCAAGTTGGGTCTCCCTGAGGAAGTGGACAGCATCTAAAGATCTGAATGAACAGGAAAGAACTGAGCAAAGAGGACAGAGGCTGCAGGGAAAGAGAAAAGGAGTTCAATTTATTGCTCAGAGATTGAAGTGGGGTATTGGGAGAAATCAAGGTGAAGAAATAGGCAAGGGCCAGGGGCAGGCCACATGGAAAAATGTGGTCATCCTCAGAATGATAAGTCACAAAAGGGTTGAAAGGTTAATAAAATAGGTACTTGTCACTCTGTTTTTCTATATGCTTAACAAAACACTGTTAAAATCCTGAGAACTGTTTGCTAATCTTGTTC